GACAAGATGTCGACATTCTGTCTCCTTTCGTTTTCTTTCCAAGAAAAAAAATTTGTTATTCTCGAGCAACGCATATGTCTAGGAAAGAATATGAAGTAAACACAACAATGTAGATGATAACTGATGGTTCACACTCTTAGTCATGCAAATTGTTGATCCATGCATGTCCCAGGAACTGCTGATTACCAGAATCAAATAGTTCCGGAGGGAAAAAGCTTTTCTTTTCAAACTCGAAAATGAAATCTTTAGTCAATGTTCGATCTTAAAACTACAATAGAAGAAATGCTAAATCCGGGAAATAGCAAACTTCAACAGAGTCTGGCATCCATACCTTGAGCCCTTGTCACCAAGACCATGAAGCCAAACTATTGTAGCTTGGTGATTTCCTCTAGGCCAGACCACATGAGTCCTCCCGAACTCGAATGTTCTGTTAGTTCCACTATCTGCAAAAATTGCAACCAAACTGTTAACAACTAAAGATTTCAGAATGCAATATATCACTACATGAAAAGTTTCTGACCCGAGCTCATAGTAGAATTGCAAATCGTTGCTAATTTTCCAGGTACAATGGTTTAGAATGAATGCCTGCAATGAAAACAAGAAGTGACCATCTGTATTTATAACCATAGTGTTGAGTGGACATGTGAAAGCATCCCATCAATCAACATCAGCTACTACTTCTGTTCGTGTTAAGCATCGAACCTAGAACTGATTAAGCGGAGAGACGCGACTCGAATAAAAAGATCACGGGCGTACGGAATCGAATCAATGTGGGGGAAATGCAACTTTACGAGGCTTCTACTGTGACAAACCTAAAAGGGGTTTGAGTAAAAGAACGGACAATAAGAACAGAATAAATCATTAGCTCTAACACCATGTTAGGCATCCGATCTACATTCGAGAGGAGGTGAGATAATCTTGTTTGCACTGGTTACACACTGTCTATATAGAGATGAATGCATGATTTTATGGAGCAAAAACAGATTATCAATAAAAAAATTTTAAAAAATATCTAAATTATACGAGAATTTAAAATTTTTAAGACGGACTGCCTCCAGCTCACCTCGATCCATCTCCGTCTACCACGACAATGCCAGAAAGTGAGAGGCACCCAACAAAGGTCGAGAGAATCCAGAAACAGACAAAGAAAATGAATTTAACAGAGAACCTTTGACATTGCAAATTTTCAATGCATAAACAGAAACAAAGAATCCAATACCTAAGAGCAGTGGGAATCAAAGTACAAAGAAGCACTCAACAACATATCATCTTCAAAAAAAAAAATCAAGAAATATATATTTAACATCCATGTGTACCAATAAAGATTTCAACTTTATTGAATATAGCGAAAAAAGACGTAATGAAAATGGAAACATTGAGTTGAAAAAGTAGAAAACGTGGGGTTTAAGCTTTTGAGCTTTCATACATACGTCTATATGGAATCAACCTCGTGTGGAACAAACAAAACCGTTTTCCCTTTCTTTCTTTCTTCTTCTTCTTCTTCTCCCTTTTCTTACTTTCTACTTTGCCTTTTGTTTGTTCATACTACACTCTACAGGCAAAGCTGGCACATAGAGAAGCTGAAATCCATATCCGAAACAGGGATTAAAGGAACCAACTTATAAAATTATAAAATTTTAGAGGGCAAAAATATTTTTTTAATTAAAAATATATCTAAAATATATAAAAAAAAGTTAAAACTTTTATGGACGGATCCTAAACGTGCCTGTATTCATTCATGGAAAGGACTGAAACGAAATTTAAAACAAAATGTTTACTTCTTAATATATTATAAGTTCCAATGAAACTTATCGTTTATTTAGTTTTACTCACATTCACATGAAAATGGCACAACGGTACTGTATTTTAACCTCATTTTCTTTTAATCAAATTTGAAAATTTGCAGTAATCCAAGACACCCCTACAAAATAAATTACATCATGACTTGTTGTATTATAAGTAAGTTTATAATTAGGTCATAATATTTAAAAAAATCATAATCGAGTCTATTTATTGATTGTTTTTTTTTGTAACAATTTATTGATTGTTACTAAGGGGCTGTTTGCCTCTTAATGGAACCATTCAGCGCTGAATGTTGAACCATTCAGCATTCAGCGCGTTTTTTTCGCACCTCTGAATGATTCAGTGTTGAATGATTCAACACAGAAGTACATTCTGAATCATTCAGAGCCAGTTATCAAACAACATGTCACATTCAGAGTCTCTGAATCATTCAACATTTGAATCATTCAAAACTTAATCATTCTGAAGTAAATAAATAGCCCCTAAGTAACTTTATTGTTAAGTGTATTAATTTTTTAGATAAATTTATATTTTAGTCATTGAACTTTTAGTTCTAACTCAACCTTTTCCTGTAAACGAACTGAACGAACACGAACGAGGTATGTTTATGTTCGTTCGCTTAAATTTAACCGAACAAATAAACGAACACGAACATAAACGAACCAAGAATTTCTTGTTCGTGTTCGTTCATGTTCGTTCATTTAAATTATAAACAAACACAATTGAACGAACATAAACGAACAGATGTAAACGAACATAAACGAACACAATAAACGAATGTAAACAAACACAAATAAATGAACGTAAACGAACACGATAAATGAACGTAAACGAACATAAATGAAAATAGATTTTTTTTTCTTTCCTAACAATTTTAGGATTATATTTTATTTAATTGTTTTGAGTTTTTTTATTTGTATTTAAAATTAATTGAATTTTAAAATATTTATAGGTATCAGATTAAAATTTATTGGGCTTTAATATTTAAATAGATCTAGAGAGATTGGGCTAAACATAAATGAACGCACATAAACGAACATAAATGAACGAACATATTACCAAACATTCACGAACGTAAATGAACAAATAAACCCTCTGTTCATGTTCGTTCATTTAATTAAACGAACACAAAATATTGTTCATGTTCGTTCGTTTAATAAATAAACGAACTTCTCGTCGAACGGTTCGCTGAACGTTCGATTCGTTTACATGCCTAGACTTTTTGGATTCTCTTTTTAACTTCTTCCTAGTTCTATGTTTTTATACTCTATGAATTTGTAGAGAAAACCGAAAATCCAAATAATCGACTCACGGCTCGGAGTTAAAAGTGATAAAAATATAAATTTATTTTATAAATTAATATCTATTGTATATTTAACGATAAAGTGATATAATTATTTCCGATCAATATATAATATAATAAATTATTATTTAATTTATTTAAAATTGAATAATTCCTTAGAATATTTGCTTAACATGGACGGGAGAAGTGGAGATTGGAGAATATAATTTATAAAAGCTTAATTATTTTCCTACGGTATCAGATCTGGTGTAAGTTCATGCATAGATCACGTGGCTATATTTTTATTTCTTTTCTTTTTCTTTTCCTAATTTCTCATAATATCATTTTATCATAATAATTTATAGCTATTTAAATATTTTTATTTAAATAATTTCGAATCATCAGGCTGAGAAAAATAAAAGGATTATTATATGATATATTGTTAGGGAAAAAATAATTTTACGAGTGGTATTCAGATGATGTCCAGTGTTTTATTATTTATTTTTAAAATTTTAAATCTATATATAAAAGATATTCGACATCATCTAAACACCATTTATAAAATTATTTTTTCAACTAATAATATATCAAATAATAATCCTAAATAAACACACATTCTATTATTGTTTAACTTTGCTTTAAATTCAAGTTGGAGGACATTTCATAATTTGGAGGTCTCCTACGGAAGTTATTCTCAACCTAGTGTTGGGGACAGCCTATTATCTTACTTCCCCTTACCCCATTACATATGGGAACAAGAGACAACCATTTGCTTTAAATTCAAGTGGGTGCAAATGATATATAAATGCTTTGAAAACGAATTTTGTTTTTGCAAGAATAAGGTTGAGAGTTGGAAATTTCATATTCTAGTTTTACTTTATGTAAATGATGTATAAATTATTTTATTCGTAAAAATAATAATAACAATTTTATTTTTTTATCATTATAAAATGTTTAACCAAGTCGATAAAATTTATACTATGATATTAATTTTTTTAAATAATAATAATCAATATTATTATAAAAATATTTTATAATTTTAATACAATAATTAAAAACAATATCACGTGACAAAGGTCAGAGCTTAATTTTGGTACCAATGACAAAAAAAAAAAATTACATGTCTGATCACTGTCAAGTTGTTTTTTCTTGAAAGAAAATATTGTCTTTACTGGGAAGGATATTTTGTTCATCTTTCTTCTTCTTCTTCTTCTTTTTAAATAAAAAAATAAAACAAAAATTGGTTTATTATGATGGAGTTAGTGAAGCAAATACAGCAAACAAAAATAAAAAAACGGAAATTAGACTCGTAAGATTGTAAAGGCATTATATGGTATTTCATTTGATATAACAACCGTAATCTGTTTTGCGAGGGCAACGGCGACCTTGTTATTCTTCCTCGGAACGTAATTAGTTTTCACTCTTCAGTCTCTTTTTAATGGCTCCTATCCTTCCAGATCATATTTAACGCTTCAAAAATTTAAAATTCTAAATGACACGTGTCACCTATAAAATTCTAAATTTTTTATTTAAAAACACTTTAAAATATTATTTAAAAAATGCATTTTTTAAATTTAAAAAACCCAAAATCATTTAAAACCATAATTTCATCCATTTGTCACCGCTAACCACCACCAACGTCACCAATCAGCCAAAATTCCAATGGCGTGTGATTTACTGAACACCCAAAGACCGAAACTCCCTATTCCAACCTCTAATTGTAGAGAAAATCGACAATAGCGGCGATGTAATACCCCGCATTTTGACTAGTGACTAAAATGAAATTTTTTAAAGTTTAGTGGCTAAAGTATAAAGTTTGAAAAGTTTAGGAACCAAATAACGTAGATTTTGAGTTCAAAATCAGGATTTTATTTATTGTGGAAAACCCAATGCCAATGATCATCATGGCAGCAGATGCAAAAAGTATTTCCATTCAAAAACTCAACACAGAGACCACTGCGTAACGAATAAATTAGGAAAGCCAAAACTCGTGTTCACTTGAGACATTTGACATAAAAAGAAATATTTGAAGATGAATGAATTTCAACAGCCAGTTACCATAAGAGAGTGCACACCTCAAGGTATGGTTCGTTGATACAGAGGCAAAGCTCCTAAAGCTTCTCGCTCTGCATTCTCCTTCTTCACCTTCGAAACAAAACCAAAAAAATAGGAAAAAAGAAAACTCGCATTAAATTTCAAGCCTTGCTTCTATCAAACACCAAAACAAAACGAAAATAATACATTAAAATAATTCTAATATTTTATTCCATAAATAAGGTGCACTGCATCCACAAGTTGTGTCAGCAAAGTGGGAACGATAAGCAGCATAAACCGTAATGTGACGAGTATCATTAGCAAAGCAAACTAGAAGGCTTCAACCAAATAAAATTCCTCTCAATTGGTAAAAGTTGCAGCAATAAACTTCATTCAAATGAGCTAAATAAGCAAAACAACATATCATAACTACAAATCTAGAATTTCAAGACGGAAATGTAAAACCAGAAACACCCAGTTAACTTCAGGAACTACAAATAAAGCTGGCACTAGAATTCAGAAGTTTTGGATTGGTCTAAGTCTTAATTGGTCTCCATATTATCTTAGTTGAACAATTTTAATCCCTTCATCCCAATTTTAATGGATTATCCTTTCAATTTTATTAACAGTTGCTTTAAGGACAGAAAATAACGGCAAAAACTATCATCAGTTTCAGCCATGTTTTATTTTGCTGGTTACACGGCTTGCAAAACTGAATATTTTGATCACAAGGCACACATTAACACAAAATGTGATAATATACATATATATATAAAAACTAACCTGAAAAGCAATTATTTGTTATTTATATACACTGAGATATGATGTATACCACAGTCAAACATTAACACATCTTATCATGTCATGTCACCACTAGAACACCACATCTCCAAATTAACGAAATATTTTAACACCGCAACTAATTATCCTTCAATCAACGTGCACTAAGATTGTAAGGATTAAATTTGCTAAAACTGAAGCAGAGAGGCTAAATCTGCCAAATTTAAATGGTAGAATCAATTTCACATGTCAAATGTCACAATTGTGATCCCAGAGGATCAATAAATTACAGGAATTGCAGAGAAATCTTAAGATCCAATTCACAAAATGACAAAGCAATCCAAACAAGGCAAATTCCTACATCTGAGTACTGGGGTATCAGAATTAAATCTGAATACAGCATTATGTACCACAGCTAATAAGAGCAGTAAAACCGAGGGAAAATTACTATAATCAGTGAATCAAGGGGCATTCCTAGGCACTCTTAGATGGAAAGGCACAACGCTAAACAATAAAAGCACTCATCACCTTTACGCAAGGAACCTTTAATGACCAGTGGGTTTTGGCACTTAAGCACAACATTTTTGAAGGAAAAGGTGCTAATACAGCATATGCTTGAGTGAAGTGTCTTCTGTTTTTCTATTAATAGGAATTTTTAGTAGATTTTAGTTTAAAATTCAGAAAAAATAAACCTCCTCTTATCTGTAAAAATAAATAAGGGTAATGTAATTCATCAAAAGCTTTTTTCTTTTAACTAGCGACTTCCAGTTCTTTTTCAAGACAGAGACAGAAAACCTAGCTCTAGTTATTTATTTCAGATCAGAGTCAAGAGTTTTTAAAATTTCTGATTCCCCCAAAGGCTAATTGTAATCTTTTGGGTTTATAAAAAAAAATTGATAGGAATAGGAGACCTCATTAAAAACCTCCCTCGTAGTTGGCTCTTGTGAAAGAGGCAACTAGCGGAAGGAGAAAAAGAGTGCCTCATTTTATAAAAATAAATTGTATGTTAAAAGTCTACCTTATCATATACAATACATAGCCATAAAACTTCTTAGAAATATATTATATATTTGTGCCTTACTTAACTAGGGATTGTGTGTTTTTTGCACCTTCGGCCTTGGCAATGTAATTCCCCTTGCACCTTTAACAAAAGGGCTGCAGCACGAGCAGTAATTCCCTAGTAAGCTAAATGCAATAAAAATATGAATTATAGCCCTCTTACTAGTCATGGAACATCATTATCACTCCAGCTTTCTGTTTTTCTAACACTATGTTAGAATTAAGAGAATATGGGGGAAAGATATGAAAGGAAACATATGAGCATTTCCTCAGTTTTGATAAACTTTAAAATGAAACAGGGAAGGGGGATTGAGCACCCCCTAATTTTCGTTCAAATGCTCCATTTTGAAACTAACCTAGGTTGGAGGAAATGGAGGGAAAAGGATTATTATTTTTTTTAAAATATGCAAGACTTTAATACATTTGGGTTTTTTTTTCTTCTTTCCTTCTATTTTCAAACATAATCTAGAGTACCCATGTAGGGTAGCTTGAACCCTCAAAGTAGGCACCAATATGAATGTATGAATTCCATATTAGGTAAACTTAGAATAAACCGAACACACTTGTGTTAAACACTTATAGATGTCGGAATTCCATGATATACTGGAAGCCAAAAAATGAGTTCAAGGGAATTAGTAAAGAGAACTTTATTGTTCAAGAACTTACAAGGGCAAGCATCTCTTGAAGATAGCTCCTAAATGGTGTCTGCATTTTCTGCAAAGGAATAAAAAAAATCCAATGAATAATGAGATGTCGAAGTAAAGTTGTGACTCGCGAAATGAAGATACATGTTCACATCAAAAACACTGATTAGCTAATGATATCTTTTCCTCACTGATTTTAATAAAAATTGACATTCGTTAATCATATTATACAAATCATGCAATTTAAGTTCCTCAACTGCATCCACTTTGTTTAATAACCTTAGAGAGATTGAGCTCTAAAGGTAACAAAAAAAAAACTGTATAATTCAAGCTTTTCTACTTTGATTAATAATCCAGAATAATTGGGCTTCTCAATTCATGCTGTTACCAATTGATTAGAAGCATAAAAAAGAAAGATTACTAGCTGTAGCAAGTAGCAACAAATCATAGCTAAGAAATCAAGTGAATCGTTCTACCTTAGTTCTATCCCAATATGAGACTACATGCATATACATTTTAAACATCAACAACATAAGTATATAAACGATAAATAGATTTCCCCCCATAATTAAGAACTAAAGTAAGATTCTCCCAAATCTTAATTGAAACCTCAAACTAAAATGAAGAAAGAGGAAACCTGAAGGTTTTCGGGAAGGTATTCGTGCTTCATGGAGAGGTCAATTGCTCGCTTAAGGCGTTGGTTACGAGCATCGACGATCTCACGGGGCAGCCGATTCAGCGCCTCCTTGATATCCTGATCATAGTAAGGATCGTATAAATCGTCGTAGCGAAGACCTACACAAATTACCGTTTTATGTTTAATCAAAATCATAAAAGAAGCATAAATTAGGGTTAGATTTTTTTTGGGGTGGGGGGAACCGTACCGTATTTGCGGAGGCGTTTGGTAACGGATTTCATGTGCATAGCAGCCAACCAGCTTTTCTTCGGATCCAGGAATGACTGCAGAAACGAAGACATCTTGGCCACTCTCCCTTCTTGCTCTCTACCTCAGACCAGTTCCGTTCCGAGACTGTCTCCTTTTTATTTTATTTTCAAGGAAGGGAGGGTTCGTCATTTATAGAAATTTATTAATTTAATAGAAAACAAAAATGTTTTAAATATAACCTTAAATTTATAGTTAAATTTAAAAAATATTAACGTTGAAAAGTAAAATTAAGAGAATATTGATATTAAAAAAATTAGAGAATATTGACATTAAAAAATAAAATTAAGAGAATATTGATGTTAGAAATGAGGGTCATAAAAAATTATTTAAAACCAAATTGTAAAGAAATGAAAATGAAAAGAGTACAATAAAAACCTTTTAAAATTCAATTTTAAATTATTGTTTCATGTTATTATATATTTATTTTTTTAATAAAATTTCATTTTAATATATATATATATATATATATATATATATATATAATTGTTTTATTTTGGTCTTAAAAATGAAAAGAAAGAAATTGAAGCAAAGTCGCTTAAAGTACAAACAAATTTATCATAATCGATTTTAATTGCCAACGACTTCGTTTTGTACCGTAAAAGCATCATTATTTCCGTAATTAATCAATTATCATCCCAAATACTTAATTTTAAATCATTTATTTTCCCTAATTTTACCAGAATTCATGAATGATTTAACATAATTTTATTTTAAAAAATAAATAATAAATAAAAACTCATCAACTTAGTTAATTTTTTCACTTATTTCAATTGAATACTCACTCGACTTACTTATTATACAATAAAATTGTCTAAAAGATTATAAAACTAATCGACTTATATATGAAAAAGCCCATAATTTATGGGTTTCTACATTTGACATTTGCTGGCATCTGCCCCTTTTGAATTCAAGCCCCAGACCCAGATTTGAAGAGAAAAGAGGAGATCAAAATCTGGGCTGAATTCCCGGAAAATCTCATTCCATGATGGGGTGTGTGTGGAATCAAATTTCAAAACAATGCGCAATGATAAAGAAAACAAAACCATGTAAAGTCGTGGGAAACAAATAAAAAAATATATATATAAAGTATGAAGAAAACCCAAATTTTCCTCAAAGGAAAGCAATCCCTCTCCCGTTTTTGTCTTGCTATAAAAGCCCACCATCGTTGTACATACTAGAGAATACCGGTTTTGTCCGTACCATACCCTCCCCGCCATTGTTGCAGGAAAAAAAAAACTTATATTTTCTTTCACCGGTAAAGTTCTTTTTTTTTGTTTGTGAAGAAGATATGGGAGGTGGCCGGGAGGTTTCAATATCATTAGATGGAGTGAGGGACAAGAACGTGATGCAGCTGAAGAAGCTCAACACTGTTCTCTTCCCTGTTCGTTTTAATGACAAGTACTACGCGGATGCTCTCGCTTCTGGCGATTTCACCAAGCTTGGTCTGCTCTCTTTTTTTCTCCAGTATTTTATGGGTTTTCCTTATTCTGGTTAAAAAAACCAATGCTCAGTTCTCTTCGTTAATGACATGTTGATTAGGTCTTTCTTTACAAATTACAATCTGGGTTTTTGTTTTCTGTTTATTATTGTATTCCGTCTATTGGGTTCATTATTATGTTTTATCATATCTTTACTGATCTGTTGGTTTTGGAGTTACATTTTTAGGGTTTTCGCTATTTGCATTGGAAAATTGTAAGATTTACTCGGCCAGTTTGTTCTGTATACGATAGATTTGTGATATAAACATGGTTGAAAAATGGTTATTAAGTGATGAAATTGGTAGTCTTGGTTTGTGGGATGTTATGGAATGTAAAACTTTTCTTATCCTTCTTTGTCTGTGGCTGTGAGTTTCTAGGACTAGGTAGCTGGTTTGTGGAAGTATTAACTTCTCTAGAGAAATTCTAAAAGCCATAAAATCCGAGGCTAAGCGTTTCCCAATTCCGAATATTACAATGCTGTGTAGGAGGTACTTGCTTAATGAGGTTTATGGTCTATATCTGTTCATTGAAACTATAGACATTTCAAAACCTGTTACTATTTGAAGAAGATTTACCATATCATTTCAATCTGTGGTGATAACTATATACATTATATGTTCTCTTTAATACTTAAGTCGTGCTTGGTCTTGTCTAACTTTATTATCTTATAAATGTGCTGAGAACATCTGCGATGTGTTGTCATCGTATGGATTGTGTTGTATTGTTTGTTTTATCATGGTGTATTGATAGTTAGATAGATAAAATTAATTACCTTGTATTGCTATTTGATGGTTTTTGAAAACCAAATTTGTAGGGTTAATTAACACACACATCATGTATTGTGATTGTTATACATGCATATATATATGCATGGCTGAAATTCGATGAAAGCTTAAAGCATGAGCAATACTATCCAATGTTCTGTTTATTTTAACGACCACTCTTTTTGCTTTCTAATTCAGCATATTACAGTGATATGTGTTGGATCGATTGCTTGCCGGCTGGAGAAGAAGGAAAGTGGGGTTGTCCGTGTGTACATCATGACATTGGGTGTTTTAGCTCCATATCGTGGGCTAGGCATGGGTGAGTAGACAAAAATGTTTTTGTTCCTGGCATTGATCTTGCAAGGAATCAATAAACTTGATCCATGATTATTGGTTTTTAATGTGGTCCAAGTATTACTTTGGATACTCAACTAGCACAAAAGAATGATCGAAGCCGATGGCTAAGAGCATTCTCTGATGAGGTTAACATTGAAGAATCAAAGATTGAAATGCAAGTAACTGGTCACTGAAGTTTTGTTCCCCTTGATTCTGAACAGAAAAGCATAGTTTGTTAAGAACCATGAACCTTCATGTTTCTTGTTTGTTTGAAAGTTTGCTTAAAATCTGCATTTATGCAGGTACGAAGCTATTGAACCATGTTCTCGATCTCTGTTCGAAGCAAAACATACAAGAAATTTACTTGCATGTTCAGACAAACAACGATGATGCCGTCAACTTCACAAACATTGACCCTCCTGACTGCTTTGTTCTCACCAAGTTCATCACTCCATCTCAAGTGAAAAAATAACACTTCAAAGCTAAAACTGGTTCTCAGGAGTTGTCGGTCATTGTTGTCTTATCGAATTTTATTAATTCATAACTTTGGGGTTTCTTTTGATGACAAAGGATATTGACATGCGTTAATGAGATGAACTATGGTTTGTTTTTTGTTTCTGTTTTTTTTTTAGCCCTACTTTACCTTATGATACGAAATTTTCTCTGAAACAAGATAGATCCCTCTGCTCAATTGAAATTTCTTTGGATAAGAACTGTTGAGCATAGTGTCTCTCTAAGAAGAAGACCTCTGCCATGTATTTGAGAAAGAACTGTTAACTGTTCAAGGATGTTGATATGGTTTTTGAATCTATTATTTGAACAGAGTGCTTGAAGACATGCATGCATCATGTGTGGAATCTGTGCCTTTAAAGGCCATTTAGACGGCTACACTCTTCTAATTTGTGCATCTTCTGAATGTTTTGGAGTGACATGAATACCTATAGCTGGAATCTTGTTTCCATTACCCGTTCTTCCTCATCAGCAGCAAACAGCACGTCCTTCCGAAGTTTTTCCTTCCCGAACATCTTCAAGAACTCGATGCTGTCGACTATGAAGAAATTATCGGTACTCCACAAAGGAACTTGAATCTACCATGTAATTATCATCTTTGTGTCAAGTCGGTGATGTAATGATCATTTTTCGATGTCTTCTTTGATCACTTAAGATATTGATAAATTTATCTCATTGTCTATTATCATCCCATCACTTTAGATTTTATCTAGATCATTGTAAAATTCATAAAACTCAACGTTAAACTCAAAACTCATGAAACCCCAAATCATTCTTATTTATAATATCCACCATTTGATCAATGTAGAACCAAGATATAAAGTTCGCTTCCTTCTTCTTCTCCTTTCCACTGTTGAGATTTAGAAGAAGATGCTACATCATTGAGAAATCAAATGAAATTTGAAATAAATGGTTCTTTCACAAGAAAATAAAATTGAGGTTATTTCATAATTTTAAAAAAAATGTGTGATCATAACTTAACGTCAAAATGATCAAGAAAAATAAAAAATGTAGTGAGTAAATTGAAAATTTTAAATTTTAATGATCAAAATAAAAAATTTGAGTGATAAATTTTTTAATTTACATGGTTATAAAGAAGTTTAAAATTTTTAATTATTCATAAAAAAACAAATATATATTGTGACCATGATGATTGGAAGGCCCATCTCACCTCTCAAGATGCTCCAAGCGGAGCACTACATATTTTGTCACGTGTCCGCATCTGCAATCAGAAGATCCTATTGTCATCAACAACTGCCTTTCCTTCTCCACAGAATTCGTTGGTTAACGAGAACGAGAGAAAGCTCTGGAAACGGTTGAGGATCACCATCAGAAGAAGAAAGCTAAAGACATCATAGTAGAAGTATAGCCGGGGTCTCATGCGCCCATGCCCTCACTTCAATAGGATGGGAAGTTGTTGTGCTCGAGAGAACTGGCACTCCCTCCAACCGGCAGCCCAACCGATGCCGGACTGGGGCTGGACCCTTTGTCTCAAACACTCATTACCAGGGTTTAAAAAAACGGTCTGCGACCGCGATTTCAGCCGCGATATAGTAGTTTTGTCGCCGTCCGAATTACCCGGCCGCAATCACGGTAAATCCGAAATAACGGAAAACGCGACCGCCATGGCTCGGCAATCCCCAGCTCCTCCACCAGGCCACCTTGCTCCTCACTATCGATCAGGTATATGTGAAATTAACACTTTTGGTGTGCTTTTTTGATGATTGGGACTATCAAGAATTGACATTTCATTTATTCTGGAAATGGGTTCTTCAATAGAACCAAGCAACAGATGATGCTACAAAGGAGAGCTGGACGCTGACAAGAGGTGAGGAATTCAATTTTAGAGCAGCGCATTGGGCTGATCTCCATGGCCTTTTATACAATGCATTGTCACCTGATGTGTTCTTCTGGGGTCATCAATTTATCTCTTTCACCGTCTCTGAGGCCAAATCCCATGTCAAAGTTAAGGTTAAGCTTCTTCGAAACAATAACATCGTTGAGATAGATGGTTATATACTCATTGCAGCAGATGGGTGCCTCTCTTTAATCCGCCAGCATTTTCTCCCTGACCTTAAATTGAGGTATTTCAATATATATATAGCTTAATCAGACTTAGTGCAATGCTGCACGATGTAGTTAGTATAATGTTGTTGAAGGTGTTACTCGGTTCTAAGTCCATAGTGAATGCTAGTTAGATTCGGGTGTAAAGAGTTGAATATGGATGTTGTGACACGAGTAATTTTTCATGTATCCGGAGCGTCTTTGGAGATTCTATGCTCGTATTCATGTGTAGAACATCCTTCTTCGTTGAAATGGCAAACAATGAATAATGCTCATTGCAGGTATTCAGGTTACTGTGCATGTAGAGGTGTTCTTGATTTCTCAGGAAAGGAGGATTCAGAAACCATTAAAGGCATCCGAAAAGCAGAAGCAGTTTTTGGCAAATGCCTTGAGAATTGGGGAGTGGAAAATTTACACTCGGCGCTGGAAGAATATAGTCCACTAGGTTACCTGTTACCTCTAAACAAGTGCTGCACTCACGGTGGCTGGGTCAGAATAAGCAAGGCTTGCATCTCTCTGACCAAGAGCCGTTTTGATCCAAAGAAAGCAAGTCCGAATAGTTATAAGATCATGAAATGTGGAGCTCATTTCGGATAACTGACGCATGAAACAGGTTGCATTCTCACATAATCAAATTGCTATTTTCTTCTAAGATCATGAAATTACACTTGTCATAACCATTTTTTTTTTTGTAAAACAATTAAATATTATTTTTAAAAACAATTATGACTTTAATTTGAAAAAAATGGGTGATTTTGAATTGATTTGAATAAAATTAAAAAGAGTCGCCATCAACCTTTGGGTTAGGTAGGTCGAATACCTAAAAACGTCTTTTAAAACAATTTTAAGAAAAATCATTTTTTAAGACAAGATTCGGTCTGCGTTACCAAAGATTCATTTAAATGGATTCGGGAGTCGGTTACGTGCGGGGAAGGGTAAACACCCCCACAACGCCCAAAATTGGTACTGTGTCGCTTACACATCGTTGTAAATGGTGGAAATTATAAATCAAATATAAAGTTAAAATATGATCTATTTATCGAACGTTGATTAATTTGCTTCGAATTAAATAATTAGAGAAAATTCTTTAACTCGAAAAGAAATCTCGAAATTAGCAATCCTCCATCGGGAAAGCTAACTCGACTATTTCTCATCCATAAAGAATATTTCCCTCTTGATAAAATGTGAATCGAATATAAATAAAATTGACGTTTGCATACAACAAAATAAATTGATTAACTAAAACATGAATCGAAAATAAAATGGAAAAAAATTTGAAGTTTATATTTACATAAAGTAAAATAAATTACTATTTAAAATAACACACATTGCATCATTTGCACAAATTAACAAAATGTACTCAACTTATTTTAAGTTACTATGTCGTTAAAATACCGTATCGGATCGCACCACTTCGACCAAGTGATACTTTCCACGCTCATTCTACGCATACGTGTTCTTAAAGTATTTGGACAATATTTAAATAAAGAAAAATGGAAATAAATAGAAATAGAAATATGTGAAATAATATTTACAACAAATAAAATTAAACATATTTAATTACATATGGTACAAATAGATACATAACATGAAAAATGTACATACATAGGGATTAAAATAAAAGAAAATTAATATTACAAACCAAACTATAATGACAAAAAAAGTACTTTGAATTACAAAAACCCAAATAACAACATATAAACTCAAAGGACCAAAATAGTACAAACATGAATTTCAAAGGACTAAAATGAAATAAATAGAAATATGAAGGGATTAATCGGTAAATAAAAAAACAGAGCCAAAATCAAAATATTAAACATTTACAAGCACTAGAAATGAAAATAAACCATAAACAACATCTAGGACTAAACTGCAATAACCAAAAACATGAAGGCCGAATCATAATTAAACCAAAAGTAAGATAATGACTAAAATAATAGATTTATAACTATCATAGCCAAATTTGAATATCAGAGAAAGTACACAACACCTAAGATCAGTGACTAAAATATAATATTTTAAATGTCAGAGATAAATTCGAAACTCAGCCAAAATACATAACATATAAACTCAGGGGCTAAAATGAAACTATTACAAACATTGGGACCAAAGTCAAATATCCACAAAAATGACATAACATACATTAGTAGGACTAAAATATAAACAAGGAAACATAGATGCTCAAAACAAAAGAAAATAAAATAGACATTAAACAAACATCAAACAATGACTAAAATAGAATATATACGAATATGAGACCAAACTCAAATAACAGTAAAGATAATAAAATGCATGGGATCAATGATTAAATTAAAATATTTGAAAATATTAAATCCAGAATCAAATATAGACAAATATGATATAAAACATGAACAGGGACTAATATATAACATTTGCAAATTTCAAGACCAAATCCGAATATCAAAGGAAAATGCACAATAAACTGAAACAGTGACTAAAACGAAATAAATATAATATCACAACCAAATTATAATGTCAGCAAACATAATATACAAATTAATGACTGAAATGCAATCATTAAAAACTAAAAGGCTCGAAATAAAACAATAATAATTTCATTAAATGACTTAAATAAAGCATTACAAAGGAGAAGGGACCTAAACTGTAGTTACCCCATGCTTGCAAAACACGGGTGCCCAGACCCTTGAAACGGCGCCGTTTGGTCAAATTACATAAGCCCAAAAACGGGCATTCATTCATCCATCCTCTCATTTGCCTCTCATCCAAAGAAAACAGAAGTGAGAGAGTTTTAAAACTCTCTCAACTTCTTCCCATCGGGGAAGAAAGGGCCGCCTCATACCGGCGGCTATCCCGGAGGCCCATGACGGCCGGCACGGCAGTGCCCGGCGGTCGGAGGAAGTAAACAGTCTCAAAAGACCCCCCTCCTTTACCCTCAACCCGAAAATCACCCCTACCTAACCTAAAACCGACCCTAAACCCTTAAATCTAAGGTATACCTTTTGAGAAAACAAGAAACCGGTGACCCTTCCTCCTCTCGATGACTTCTCCGATCAAGGTATGGTCTCCTCCCTCTCTATTTCCCTCTTGGTTTTTTCATTTTTTTTTGTTTGGTTCGAGTAGTTCTCTTTTTTCTTGTTTTTTTTTTCTGGTTTTTTTTTTCTCTCCCTGAACCCGAATGCCCCCTCCTTTCATTGCATGTATCTTCCTTCTTTTTGTTGTGGTTGCTGAATGATGATATCTAGAACTTAGGGGAATTATGGGTTGATTTGGTAGCTGGTGAAATCCTGAACTTTCGGGATTTAATTTGTTTTTAAATGGGTTCACTGTTGATGATATATATATATTTTGGTTGGTTTTGCTGTTCTTCACTGTTAATAGATTGATGGAGGGACCTTCGGTCACTGTGGATGCAGGCAGCCGGCGTCAGAGGCTGTCGGCGAGGGTACGCTCGGCTTGAGCGGCGGCGGCGAGGGGACGCTCGGCTGAGAAGCTGGAACGTCAAGCGGCGGCTGGAGCTGGAAGGCCAAACGGCTGAGCTGATGATATTTTAGGGTTTCAAACCCTAAGCTCTGCGTGATCTGGACCGTTGGATGGGTCCAGATCCAACGGCCAGAAATGAGGCGGCTGGAACATTGAGATGAAACCCTAGCTGGGTTGTCAAGTGGGCCGGTTCGGGTCAATCTACTGGGTTGTTGGACCGGGTCTGGGTTTTGATTGTAGTTGGGCTTAAGTGGATGGCCTGCACAAAATGTTGTAATATGTAATTAATAAACATAATAATAATAATAAATAATAATAATAATAATAAAATTAAATTAGATAGGAAAGACCCGGACAAAAACGGGTGTCTACAGCTGCCCCTCTTTGCACATTCTTGTGTTAACAAGAATAGGGCAAAGACGACAAGACATCACGTTTTTGTCTGGTTCTCTCCTTTTTAAACTTAGAAATTGGATAATGTTGGTTGTTGGGGACGACACTGCTCATACGTGATGAAGAGTTCTTGGCCATCTAAAGGTGATAACACGGTTCCTACATGATGAGGACAGCTGGTTATCTAAGGGTGACACGGCTCCTACGTGATGAGGAGGTCTGGTCGAGAGATGACACGGTTCCTACGTGATGAGGACGGCTGGTCATCTTTAGGAGTGGTGATAACTTAGTTCCTACGTGATGAGGACGGCTGGTTATCTATGGTTGACACGGCTCCTACGTGATGAGGAGGTCTGGTCAGGGGATGACACGGTTCCTACGTGATGAGGACGGCTGGCCATCTATGGTTGACATGGCTCCTACATGATGAGGAGATCTGGTCAGAGGATGACACGGTTCCTACATGATGAGGACGGCTGGCCATCTATGGTTGACATGGCTCCTACATGAAGAGGAGATCTGGTCAGAGGATGACACGGTTCCTATGTATGAGGACTACTGGCCATCTCTAGGGATAATGGTTTCAAGGGAGACCAACTCAAAGATGTGTTTCAATAGAAACAAACTCAAAAATTGGATTTTGATAAAAATTGTCTCAAGGGAGACAAAATTCGTTTCAAGAGAAACGATCTCAAAGATATTTGCTTTGTTTCAAGTGAAATAAACTCCAAGATAAGTTTTTTCAAAAGCAACTGTCTCGAAAGAGACAAAATTCGTTTCAAAGGAAACAACCCAAAGATGACATTTAAAGGGAATTGTCTCAAGTAAGACAAAATTTGTTTTAAGGGAAACGTTCTCAAATATCGGTGTTTCATGGGAAATTGTCTCAAATGAGACAAAATTCATTTCAAGGGAAACGATCTCAAAGATGTTTGTTTGTTTCAAGGGAAACAGATTCAAAGATGATAAATTTTGTTTTTCAAATAAACAAACTCAAAGATTTTTCTCAAAGAAACTGTCTCGAGAGACACAAAATTTTGTTTCCAAAGAAAGAGATTCAATGATTGATTTTTTTTTGTTTTTTTTTTTGAAAAGACATTGTCATAAGAGACAAAACTTTGTTTTTCAAAAAATGGTATCTTAGTGAGACAAAATTTTGTTTCCAAAGAAATAGCCTCAAAGATTTTTCTTCAAAAGAAATTGTTTTAAGGGATAAAACATTGTTTCCAGAGAAACAAACTCAAAGATGATCTTGTTTTAAGAGAAAATGTTTCAAAAGAAAATGTTTCAAGTGAAACGACTCAAAAATAGTTTTATTTCAACTGAAACAAACTCAAAGATTTTGTATTTCTAGAGAAACTGCCTCAAGGGAGTCAAAATTTGTTTTAATGAAAACAATCTCAAAGGTGGGTAGTTTTAAAAGAAATGGTCTAAACGATCTCAAAGGTTGGTATTTTCAAAAGAAGTTGTCTCGAGAGACAAAATTTTGTTTCAAAGGAAACAAACTCAAAGATTTTTTTCAAAAGAAATTGTCTTTAAGAGATAAAATTTTGTTTCAAAAGAAACATACTCAAAGATGAATCACATCTTAAGTGAGACCAAATTTGTTTCAAATGAAACAATCTCAAAAGTTAGTTTTTCATTAGAAACTGTCTCAAGAGAGACAACATTTGTTTTTAAAGAAATAGACTCAAAGATGATTTTGTTAAGAGAAACAAACTCAAAGATTTTCAAAATGAACATATTCAAAGATTTACTTCAAGAGAAACTGTCTCAAGAGATACAAAATTCATTTTTAAGAGAAACAG